TGGTAAATATTCACAATACGCCCACGCTCCAAATATAGAAATTTCGCAAGATTAGATCCAGTAGGAGAGGAGTTACGACTGAAAAGTACGGCTGAAGAGCCATTTCACCGAATACTTTTGAGCGCTACTGCAGCTCATGCACAAGCCATAAAACGTGCAGTAATCAGGAACATCTTGAGGACCGCAGGAAATTTCTGCAGGTTGAAGTAGATCTGTACCAGCACGACTTGCGAGATGCGACTGCTGCCAATGATTATATGGTACATACCACAATGCCGGAGAAGGTGGCGCACTAATACGGGAAAGCACGCCCGGACAAACGATTGTACCACTGTTCTTGCCGAGAAATCAGGTGATTGAGCACGGGTAAGGGTGATCTGCCAGCCAGAGTGTTGGACATGTGAATGAAATAAAAACGGTGGGAGAGTAAGACAACTAGCTATACGAGTCTCAGAACACCTAGCGAATGAAAGCAGGGCGACCTTATGACTCGGGACATCCAACTCAGGAACATAACGACGGCAGCTATAAGGCAAAGTGTACACTCTCTGCATAGAAAAAGAAAATTCAAGCAAGAAAGACGTTAGGGGCGCAAATAACCTCCTGCCATACTTACCGCACTGCAAGCCATGACTCATTTTCAGCGTGATGTTCTGTGTCATAACCATAAGGGAGACATCAAAAAGTCTCGTTCGCGAGTGAAGCCTGTGGCAACAGTGATGGGACCTTTTTCAGAAAAGAGGCCGTTCTTCAAATAAATTCAGTCACGTCGTTGATATGTTATAGGTAATTGGATGCTGAAGGATATTGTAAATCACATCAATTGGTGTTTAAGCCTCTAAAGACGACTACTACGTCGAATTCTAGACCGCAGTTTGATAAATAGGCCCACCTGTAAACCTCGGAAAGAAGGAGGCAAGGGTGGAAGGGAAAGGGGCAGGGGTTATCTAAGATTTCTTAAGACCCTCCATCTCCAACAGGAAGAACATTGAAGGGTTCCAAGACAATTAAAAACAAAACTGTCCTACAGCAAGTTGCATGCAAACCACTTGATCACTCTCAGAACGAGATCGCAACCTTAAACACCACCACTCCTCTCCTCCGACCTTCTTTGCTTCTGCTCTGTTTCAATCAATCCTTGCTGGAACTTTCGAACACACATTCTATCACATATTATCCAACATGGCAGGACTGTTTCGCAATCCGATTTATCATGGAAAAAACTTTATTTTTGGCAATGTATTATACAATAGAAATTTAATCATTGACAAGCTCAAAAGAAGACAATACAGTCTCAGTTATGCTGTTTCCTATAAAAGCTTCTGTGTGCTAAAGTGGCCATCAGTTCCCCAGAAGTTCCCCACAATGGTTGAGCTCCCATCAAAACTTACGCTTTCATTGTTTCGACTATTTCACCTCGCCATATGGTAACCAGCCTCCTTCCCTATCAAGTGACCCTTCCCTTACCGCATATTTTTGCATCAGTCACAGGTTCCAGCTGAACAGGAGGCTAAGAACAACCAAGCCCTTCGCTCAATCCAAAAGTGTTCCTATATGCTCGTTCATCTCAGCACATTTACATATGAATGCCTCTTTCCAATGATTATACCAGGATGCTCAGGATGTCGACCGATACGTCAATCCCGGATCGATGCCCGCCTAGGCAAACCAAGCCCTCCAAGCCGGTGAATTGGTGCTAGAGTTGTTTGGGAAGATATCCCTCAGACGGGATTGATTAACGCCAAAAACTTTATCCTTTTTTATCCTAGTTCGATTCATTGTATCTCGCTTCCTTCTGGATGCTAGGCATAGGCAATCAGTAATAACTACTGCAGCATGGAATCAATCGAATTTCGCGACAAGTGAATTTTGCTATAAAAATTGCATAATTATATAATAGTCATAAATCTGGAACATGAATTTAAGTCGGGGATGGGAAAAATCAAGATCAAATTCAGTGCTGAGGAGAACGAACTTTTTTAATCAATAACATCCAGAATAGTCATAAATTCCAAAACTCTCACGAAAAGGAAAACTCGCCTAGGTAGCCCATCTTATAACGAGAGCTTGTAAACATTTGTGCCCCTCTCAAGTTACTGGGGGGGGGGCAAAATGTATGTAGGCAAATGAAAAAAATTTACTTATAATCATAAACCTTGACAGATTAACAAAAGCTGTTACCCCTGTCTGCTCTTAAGCTGACATGAATATGCTACCTTCCGGGTAACACTGGTAGGTCCCATCAAAACATTATACTTCACACTCGAAATCGCTTCCGCTAGGTGTATATTCCGTTTTTTACTTAAAAATATTATTTTCCCTGAGCAGATTATGAAAGAGCATTTCCTGTTCATCCTACTTGCAATATGTGCAACCATCAACGCACTCCTGCGGTAAGTTCTGCTTTCAGCACGAGTTATAGTAAAACTTTATTGTACTTCTATTAAGAGTGCCCGTACATAAAGCGTCCTACAAGCAAAACACTATTGACGGATATGCGATCGCCGAATTCCTGAAACAAAAGTACATTGAAGATTACGTGTTTGCCTCGGACAACGCTACCAACGCGACCAATGCGACAGGCTTCAGCGTACCTCTCCTTTACTCCTCGAATGTAAGAAGGCATTCATATAAATTTTACTTCAGCAACAGCTAATATACTGCATTCATAGAAATTTTACTTCAGTAACAGCTAATATACTAAAACTGCGCAGCAGTTCCGAGTGCAACAATATGAGTGAGAAAGCCTGCCAAAATCATCGTAAGGTGGGAATTATTACTGGCGGCAGAATGCAGTCCGTTCCCAACAATTACGCCTTCATTTGTAGTTCAACTGCCAACAATCGACAACCTGCAACGGAACGAAGGACGAATTCGAGGTTCAATATGGAAGTGGCACTGTCACGGCGTACATCGATTACGATATTGTTTGCGTGAGTATTTGTTTTCTGGTTAATGGCAGGTATTCCGAGAAATATGCCTCACTTTTGCAGTTTGGCTGCGGCTGCAGCTATTGCACCAACAGAACACAGGGTTTCGGCTGTGCCATTTCGGAGACCGATAAATTCGCGGTAAGGGAAGCAGTTTCTGGAGCTAGACGATGGAACCATGTACAAATCTGATATTTCAGACAGAAGTATTCGACGGTATACTCGGTATGGCTTGGAATTCAGATGCGGTAGGTGGTATTTCGCCACCTTTGGACCAGATCTTTGCTGACAAGGTAATTCTGTTTCTATACATCAATGTATACCACGAAAGCAGCCATCAGAAGAGTAGGCTAAAGTAAGCCTGATGAACAGAAAATTTCCGAATTTTCTCTTACACAATTGAAAAGCCGCTGCAGTAGTCCAGGAAGTCTAATCTTTCATGCATATGCCATAATCAGTCCAGATTCAAATTGTCCATTCTCCAAACATTGTAGAAAATGTGCCCGGAAGCCCTATTTGCTTTCTACATGGGCGGAGCCAATAACGACCGGGGTGCTGCTGGAGAGTTGACTATCTGTGGGACAGACCCAGCGCATTATAAGGTATTATTGAATTTTTATCCATCCTATCCAAACATTAAAATGGGATCTACTCAAAGGGAACGATCGCATGGGTACCTCTAATAGCCGAAAGATTGTGGCGGATCGAATTAGGTCCAGTGTACACGAGAGGAACGTCGTTGACTACCGGTCCACAACAAGCTATTGTCGACACTGGCTCTTCCATTATTACTGCCCCAATGAGTGTTGTACAACAGGTGATTTCCAATGTTGCATTGAGCTCCTGCTTCGAACCGTTCTTTTATTTGATTCTCAGATTATAAATCTCGCCGGAGCAAAAACAACTGCACAAGGCACATACGAAATTGGATGCAACACCACCTCAAATCTTCCAGCACTTATCTTCACCCTTGGTGGTCAAGAATTTATTCTTGAAGGTCCCGACTACGTTGTCCAGGTATTCAGCGAATGTAGATGCGTTGTCTAATGAACATCGACAAAGATATCAATTTAAATGAATCGACGGAAATCACCAGAGCAGTAATGCAATCTTTCAGCTGAATCAGACGTGTGTGCTCGGTTTCTTGGGACTCGACATTCCACCTCCAATTGGTAAGCCCCTCATGACTAAATACTACACGATGTTTGGATGAATATCAGTTTTTAGGGCCTATCTGGATTCTCGGTGACGTCTTCCTTCGTAATGTCTACACTGTCTTCGATCATGGAAACAAGCGTGTCGGATTCGCTCATCCCACTAAGCAATGCGTCAATACCACATCAAACTCATGACAATTCATTAGAATTTGAGGCAATGCCACAAGTTCCTCAGAATAAATTGAAGTGTATTTGGCAGCCATCACACTGAAGGACGTTTCAAATCATTACCATCGACACCTCCACACAAGTGGCTAATCAGACATCATCAGGTTACTTTATAACATGAGTAGATCGACTGCTCATAGGCACGTAGGGCTTGCGAGTTCGTCACACTTTCCCACATATTTGATTAGGATTATTTCCGAGAGGGCAGAGTAGTGCAGACAGGAATGGAGTCAGTGCCTTGAAACTTCTGGAAGCTGCAGTAAGAGGTTGTTTCAACACGTAGGCAACAAATAATGCAAATGTCTTTCATTTACAATACAACGAGGCCAAATTATATTTCATATCATCCTTGCCTTTTCTGAGGAATGATTCTAGATACACTACTTTTGAAGATTCTTCGTCATAAACTCCTTCTTTTGTTCCATGACAGTCTGCTAGAAATCGAGGCGCAGGCCACCATTTGTTGCTTCCTTCGGCTGTTGGACCGTAGGTGGGATGATGTCACTTGTAAACACATTCAACTTCTGTTTATTGCAGTCTTCGTGCCCAAATTAATAGCATAGAAAATAGGTTCCCTAACTGTGTACAGTCGACTCTCCGCTGATACTGTCTGTCATTTTCGCAAAACTTCTGTGACAGTGTTTTTGGTAAGAAAAATTCGAATGGCTTGGGTCCATGGGATCAATTCATGCGCAACCCCCACCTTCTGTGGGCGGAATCCGATCCTGCTATTCACTTTTGGAATTCCTATACTGCTACCATTCTCCTAGCATACTGGAATGTCTCGATTCGAGGAAACAAGAGTTAAGGATTCCCTACCAGGCATACATATGCATACACGCATACCCATATGTACACACATACATATACTGACACACACCCATATATACACACAAACAGGTAATCCATGTTTGTCCATGTTTTGTGTTGTTTGTTTCAAAGTCATCAGCGATGAGTTCACCTCCAAGAATGATCGCGGAAGAACCGCTGGACTACTGGAAAATGGAACTCAGCCAAGAGGCTGTTCTATGATTATTCGCTGCGTAGACGTCCTTTCGCATAAGGGATTTGCGTTAAATTTTGTTTTTCGTACACCAAATTCAATGGTATGGCCACAGCAATGTTTACTCCATGCTTTACATCCACTATGAACAAGATCAGCTACCCAAAAAATAATATGTATGTAGTATGTAGTTTTATAATGGAAACAGTCCAAAAGGAAGCCCATTAGAGAGTTTTTGAAGACTTATGTAACTATTCTGCCTGTTTTCATAAGTCAAAGCTGTTCTATGTCTCATAGCTGAAAAACTGTTGAAGACGCAAGTGTAGTACCAATGACTAGGTAGTCAGAGTTTTGAGGGCTGTTTTGACAACTTCCCTGCTGGGCAAACAGAGCACCCACCGGTCACTTTTAATAACCTAAAAAGGTAATACTCGAGAAAAATTCCAACTAAAAATCAACCAATGGAGGATGATGTTGTGCAGGGTCGGAGCAGTGTTCCGCCTGCCGGAAGAGGAACCCGGATGAGAATATGGAAGCTCCTTCCCCCATATTTAATGGCGTAAGAGTTGTACGTCAGGCGAGAGGGCTACAAAAGTCACTCTCTTACCGTACCCGCACAGTGGTTGACCTTCGCCCCTATTCAGGACCCTGTGCCACAGATGTATAGTAGTGCATCGATGGAGAAGAAAGCTAAAGAATCGTCCTATTTTGCGAAAAATAATGGTTTTTACAAGTAGTGGATATAGAGGTTGTAGAAAGTACCATGAGAGAAATGGTATAGAAGAGGTATTCGGACGAGATTTCAGTTCGTACAATTGTGCAAAGAGCTGACTAATTCAAGTCGAAATTATCTGAAACAGCTTTCCATTGTCGATTCATTGGTTCATGATTAGTTGTTTGACCTTCCATCATGGAATCCCTTGAGATAGCGCAGCTTCTACAATACCGTTGAGACTCGTCCGCTGTGGGTGTGGCATTCACATGATACAATGCCTAGCCCCTTATTGTGCCTTATCAGGGACGTTTCCCGACCTGACATCGGCACGTATGGCATCAGGAGGGACCTTGATTTTGTCCTATTGGGAAATCCCGGAAACATTTTCTCGTAAACAGTACCTTTAAGATGATTTCTTACATACATACATTTATAGATGGGCACCTATCTCTGTGATTGCATAGTGGAAAGACTACCTACTCACCAACCCTGCACTTTTAGGACAGCAAACAGCAATAAATTTTAAACCGTCGACATCGAGCAGCCACGACCGATTGAAGGGGCTAAGCTTGTCCAGTCACATCACACGCAATATGCTAACCTTTTTATGGTTCTGTCCCCAATCCAACCCTTTTCTCTCAACAAAGAATGGCTTCGTAGTTGAAGTTTTACAACAGAAATTCTGTAAACAGAAATCCTGTCCGTGTGGACGAATTGGTGAAGTGGTAGAGGACATGGCTATGGCAAGGCTCGCCGTAATTCATTTTTATCGCGGCGTCTACTGTGCCGATCCAAAGTTTACTCTCCGAATGGTTTTTTCATTTCACAAAACGTAAAGAGTGGCTGGAACTTTTATCACCCATGCAAAGCGAAGGTACGAAAAAATGATAAGATTCTGAGAACCAAAGTAAATGTATGACTGGAAAATTCATCTCCTACAAATTCTTCTCACAAAAATGTGCATCTTCCCTCCAACTGTGGAAACTAAATAAAACTTGCTGATATGATATGAAAGCGTGTCGAAAAGTCCATAGACGTTGATATTTCTCAACTAGTCGATTTCTACCTCTTTACCCGCAATCATGAAGGTTTCAACTTCACGAAAGTACCTACGAAGGTTAATTTGAAACGGTGATCACTAGATATCAAGAGCGCAAACTATCGCTTCACTGTGTAATCGGAAGGGCTTTCACAGCTACGCTTCCTTCAACGCGTCGAGTATAATGGAAGTCACTGTGCATGATAACAGGTCGATATCGGTGAATCAGTACTGATAAATATTGTTATTATTCAATCGATCGTGTACTCTTAGCTTGGACATATACTTGTTCTGTAATTATGTAGAATCCGCTGCTTCTCTCTCTTGAGACATAGAGCGTTTATAATGGGAACCACGGTGCTGGGAAGTTGTTGGATACAATAATTTGTATTTGTCGATTTGTTTCCCGGTTTCTAATAGTTCCGTGCAGATATGGTGTCGTGCCTTTCGTTTGATTTCATAGGAAGTCTGGCGTGGCGCGCATCTCGGTCCCGCCAGGAAGGCACAGTATGCTGCAGAGAACGAGAGGAAGCTACGTGGCTATGCTTTGCCACGGACTCTATTTCATCATGTGGCAATTGCATCATTCACTTCACTTCGCTTCTTGTCACCATCGCCGTAGCATCAGCTTGATTGTCTTCGTGTTCCTGCGCGCACTAAATGTCATTACTGACGGTCGCAGCTCCAGANGGTCCCGCCAGGAAGGCACAGTATGCTGCAGAGAACGAGAGGAAGCTACGTGGCTATGCTTTGCCACGGACTCTATTTCATCGTGCGGCAGTTGCATCATTCACCTTACTTCGCTTCTTGTCACCATCGCCGTAGCATCAGCTTGATTGTCTTCGTGTTCCTGCGCGCACTAAATGTCATTACTGCCGGTCGCAGCTCCAGAGATGAAGCACCGTTTTATTGTCATATACTGTTAGTGCAACTGCTGCCGCAGTCAACCTCACGCAAGGGAGATTTGGAGGTGTGCATCGCAGTCAGCAAACCTGGAAGCACCAGTACCGCAAAAAGGTTGACAGGATCGGGTCCGAGCTAAGAGAGAAAAGGATCGTACAAAATCGTAGGTTCAGTGTTGTTTAAAGTGCTACTTGTTTTATATTCACTTTTATAGCCGTCGTAGGCAACAGTATTTACTCGCATGTATCGTAACCATTCATTCCTTTTATCCGCATATTCGTAATTAATCGTAAATCCTTATAATTATTTCTTGTGTGCTTAGTATACAAGAAGTGTACGATCATTTCATACCTGGAAGGTATGTCCAACGCGCGAGGCTAGTGAGTCCTGACGTCCACGCGCAGGCGCTTGGAGGACCTCACGTCTGAACCCATGAGGGAACTCGGCGCTGGACGAACGACCATCAGCATTCTGCGGTGGCAGTACCATCCCGTGGGAGGCCACCAGAGCGGCCAAGGCCTACCATGTCCGTGTGGTCGATGGTCTTAGCATTAGACCATCTACCACACGGACAAGCTGGCGATTCTCCGTTGTCCTTATCATGCCGCCCAGATCGCTCTTAAGAGCAACAACCGATGAGGAAAGGCCTAGAGGGGCCGGCCCGACGGCGCGATACATGGAGTGTTCATACCCGGAGGTATGGTGAGAAAACAACTACAAAGGTAGGAATTAATCACGGTCTACCCATTTCCACCAACTTTTTTCAGCTTTTACTATTGAATCATGTTTATTCATTACTATTTTCGGGCATAAAGCATAGGAGATAGGAAGGCATTTCGACTTCAATACAGATAGTGGAAAGACTGTCACAGGTCAGGTAGATCGGCTATGCATTCGAATGGCGGTTTCAAGGAATGTGAGTGGAAGATAACGGGTAGGTAGGGAGTGGTACGTTTCAGATTGCAACTTTGAAGACAAAATTCATGTCTATATCTATATGTATCTGTACTCCTACCAAGTTTAAACGCTCTAGATCCACGGGAACAGGAGTTATAAATTTCCTGTCAAACACACACACCGACACCCACACAAACACACCGACAAGCTAACAAACAGCAAAAATGGAGAGATACGGAAGGGAAACTCTACTTAAATCATCCCTGCCTTGCAGATGACATCGGTCTTATAATACAAAGTGGGCACACGAAGAACGTGGAACTAATGCTCATCGTATTCGAAAACACTTCTGGAGAGATCGGCTTATGGATAAACTCAACCAAGACGATGCTCATTAGTCAAAGACGATG